CCTGTGGACGACTACCATCTCTTCATTCTCTCAAACAGTACTTGGATTCGTTAGGCCTGATAAGTTAGAAATGTTTGGCTGGGATTTTTCTTCAGCCACAATGACTTGAGAAACCAAAGGCAGATGGAAAATCCTCTGTGGATGTTGTGAAGCCCAAACCGTCTGAAAATAGTTTGAATGCATTTCCAAGCCTCGGCAGGCAGCTGTTTTCCTTCATGCTAGCCGGCTCCAGGCAGCTCAGTTCCCAGGGAGAGTGTCTCTGCTGCCTCAGGCCTTCCTGGCTCTTTCCTCACTGGTAATTAAGAGGCAGGTTGTTCCTGAAGAGGAGACTCCACAGATCTGAAGGCACAGTCATGGAGTAACTATGTGAGAACTGCTCTTTGGTGATATTAGTTGCAGGAAATTCAACAGGATCTTTCCAGTCTCACGAAAGAAAAAGAAAGATGCCATGTCTTGGATCCTGTCACGGTTCACGTGGCTCTCCCTGTCCTGCCCACAGCACACAACAAACACCACTTATGTCCCAACAAGCCAATTCACAGATCACCATCCACTCCTAACCTCAGGCTGCCATGCGAACTCTCATTCCTTCCTTCTTGTGAAGAAGAATGCTCCAATTGGCTCCAAGACTCAGGACTGGTGAGCTCTCCAGTCATTCCACCTGAAAACAACATCAAAATGGCCTGGTAGTTTTCCTGGGTGAATTTTTAACAACACAGAGATATTTATTGTTGCCAAAACGTAAGTGGGAATATTCTGGGAAATGCAATTTAATTTTCAAACTTTGGACTGGTTTCATTGTTGGTAATTTCAGTGCTGCTTAGACCAAATTTATCACCGATTATCCTGTCTGCACCAGATGTGGCAGGACTTTGTCATTTTTCCATTTGGGGAAATTCATTTTTTTAGAGGGCCATTCATAGTTCATCCACCAATTCGATCTCATTTTCACTTCTGCTTTGACGTCTTCATGGTCATACTGAAATCGTTCCCACTTGATTTATAACGAAGTTCTGCAACTGAGCAGCTAGCTCAGAAAGTCCTGAAAAGTGTAGACGGTGTACTCTGACCCTAGGCCAGCCGAAGAAAAGAGCAGTCCCAGATAAAGGCCGTTTCTCTGCAGAGGAAGAGGGTTTATTGAAGAAACCGTCCCCTGGGGCAGTTTCTCTGTTAGAGTATCTGTCCACATCCGAGTCATCCTTCCCTTGGCGTGTGATGCTCTGGAAGTTGAGAACAGGGATGGAGGAAGGCGTGCCGCCGAACTCCTGCCTGGTCTGGAAGCGGTGGGACAGCATAAGATCTGGACTGTAGACCTCACTCCACGCATGGACACTGCAAGGACCACATTTAGAGATGTCTGTGAGGCCCTGGACTGCTCCTATCTTCCGCCATCCTGTTAATGTCTGAGACATCTTGACGTGTTAGCAACACAAATCAGCAACAGCGGCAGCAAACCTTGCTGATTTGGACAGTGACGGTTTTTCTGCCGCTTCATCAGGTTGTTGGGTTGTTGAATGTGTTAGCTGAAGCCACTAGGCAGGCCTAAGGGAACTGCTCCCTGACCTGACACTTTTCTTCTGTTTCTGTGGACAGGGGTGGTGGGCACTACTCTGTCTTGGAGGGGGACACAGTCCAGGAGAATCCCACTGTCACAAAATGTCACCATTAGTAATAAAATAGTGTGTGGAGGAGCAGCTTTCACTTCACGTGTGTTCATGCTACAGAAGGAAGGCCTTGAGTCAAGCCCCAGTGTTCTCTTTCCCAGTAACAGTTGTAGGAACATTCTAAGAACAGTTGAAAGTCCTTACAGTTTAGTATTGTGAGGGAAAGTTAGCTCCCAGTTGTGCAATTATTCTTATTGAAAGAGAGATACTGTGGGTGTCTGTGTGGGGTCCGTGTGGGGATTCCTCAGGAGCTAATTTGACTGGAAGTTTATTGAGATTTTTAAAAAGATATATTTATTTATATATATGAGCATGCCTGCGTGTACACCTGTGTACCATGTGCTTGCAGTGCCCTTGGAGGCTGGTTTTGAGCCTGGGAAGTAAACCTGGATCCTGTGCAAGAGTAGCCAGTGCTCTTAACTACCAAGCCTTCTCTTCAGCCCTGGTTGAGAGCTTTATATGCCATTCAATTACACTCAGCGAACTCCACCCAGTGTTCCCAGGTGGTTTGTAAACTGGGTCCTCTAGGAGCTCTTGAACTCTGCCCAGAACCAGTTTTCTAGAACCCATTTTTCCAACTGTGAGTGATAACCAGGAGAGGCAAAGGCTTGGTGATTTGCATTCTTAACCAGCACCAGAGGGGACTCTTGGGCATAGTCAAATTCAAAAACTACTAATCCGACTCTTTACCACTTCTAATCTAAAAGGGTCTTTGGCTAAACTTCAGGGTCCCTCAGGATTATGCAACCAGCTACATTAAAGAAAAAGTATCCCGCTGGGCGTTGGTGGAGCACGCCTTTAATCCCAGCACTCGGGAGGCAAGAGGCAGGTGGATCTCTGTGAGTTCAAGGCCAGCCTGGTCTACAGAGTGAGTTCCAGGACAGCCTCCAAAACAATACAGAGAAACCCTGTCTTGAAAAACCAAAGGAAAAAAAAAAAGAAAAAGAAAAAGTATCCCTTTGTAAGTAGTGGATTCATTACATTGCTTTCTGTCTTACCAGTCCTAGGCTAAAAGAGCCACCAGAGCTTTCATCATTGGCATCATAGTCTTTAGATTCCTTGTAAAGTGTCCACACTAAACACTCCATTGTATAGTCTATACATGCAATTCACATTCCTCTTTCTCAGTTAGAGTATCCAGGTTCTTCTGACCAGTTTCATCTCTAAGACATGAATGTATCTGGGGGTCTTTGTTATCTGTCTAGTCTCACAAAGTATCACAGACCACCAGAGCTTCAGTCACCTGAAGAAACCAAAGCTGTGCATCCGTATCTCCGCTTATACTGTCATGTGTAAGTTGAATGTTGGTTGCCTAAACAGGGAGGGCATCATCTTTCTGTGGCCCTGGAAGACACTATTGTCCTCTTCATAGCCCCACTGTGGCCCTGCTTAAAAATAAACAAAAGGCAACAGGACAGAAAGAAAAGGAAAAAGAAAGATACTAGTATTTCAACTTCGTTGTGGAATAGAAGCAAACCAAAGGTGCATACTTAAGGATTCAAGGGAAGCACTTCCCTCGCTTGCTTCTCACCTGTGTCTCCGAGGTCTAGGTGGCTTTGGGCAGCCATTCCAGTTCCATGGGCAGAGTGGTATCTCTTCAGTATCAGGGCATGTGCTGGCCTGAAGAAGGTGCTGTTTCCCAGGGAAAGGACCTAGGTCCCCCCCCCAAGAAATGCATAGCGCCATCCCATAGAGGAGCCAGGGAGGCTGAGCAAGCAGCTCTTTCTGCATCTCTGCCCATCTCTGATTCTATTCCTTGGGATTTTTTATTTAGGATAACTTTCAGCGCGACTTTGTAAAGGTCAGATATGAAAGAGAAAACTTGCTAATCTTGTGACAAACTGTTTACACTCAGGGTGAGGGATACCCTCTCCCTATCAGACTGTGGAGAGGCTCTAAAAGTAAACGGCACAGCTGCTTACTGGAGGGAACATATGGGCGCAGATGTCGGCTGGAAGCAGCATATGGTGGCAACGTGACGGCAGCACGTGCGGGGAGAGGGGCATCACTAGACCTCACCTTTTCCGCCCCACTGGCTGCGCGCGGAGCCCCATCTCAGAACCAAAGAGTGTTCTGACTTGCGAGTCAAATCCACACGTGGGTGAGCTTGTGTCACTGGGGTCTTGATAGTGGGGCAGATGTTGGAGGTGGTCAGTTACAGAGTGTGGGAAGGGCTGTCCCTGTCTTATTTAAAGTGATGTGTGTGGAGGGGTCCATGAGGTCTTTGTCTTGTTAAAAGAAGGTTCTGGTCCATTCTGAAGGGTGCTGGTTACTCTAGAAGATGCACCCATACAAGCATGCAAACAGAAGGCATGCAGATGCTAAGCCCATGCAAAGACTGGAAAAGAACTGTATTCATGCCAGACCTGCATGTAGGCGAGGCTTCTGTCACCACACCAGCCAGATAAACAGAGAGCTTTGTACCGCTCAATTGCCTTTTCTCTGCCAGCCTTTTAAATCTGGCATCATTGGGGGGGGGCTACATGTTTGTGTTGTACATACAGAAACATGGGTAAGGTCATGGGAAATCAATGGATTTTAATCTCTGTCTTCTCATGCAAAAACCTCACTGGAGAGAAGAAAGGTGTTGCTTGGAGCACTCGACAGTGGTTTCCCTTCCCTTGGACACGCATGCGTACATGTGTGGCTTTTTGGTTTTGTTGTTTCAGTTGTTTTCTTTCTCTGAGAATAAAGCAGCAGCATTTAAACCTGGTTGCTTTTCTGTTAAACATAGAAACCTCAGGGTGTCTGAAGAGCCCAGTTCCAAGGAAGACATGTTTAATCTCTTTCAAATGTGCTGACTTTTGAAATAGTAGGCCCATAGCTCTAAATCATCAGGCCCTTGGAATTCTGACCCAAACGTGAAAGGGTTTTCATATGTGGGTGAAAAATGAGGACAGGTGGTTTTCAAGAACAGGCCAGGCAAACAAAAAACTCAAGCTTTGTTCTTAACAATAGACTCTTTTGTCCAAGGGGGTCAAGACCTTTCTTATTCATCTATAGTAAAATTCAAGGTATTACTTTTCCCCAGTTCAGTATATAAATTGTAAATTGTTGTTTTATTGCTTGAGCATGTCAAGAGGACAATTGCATTGAGCAACGTGGGCTGCTGGGTATGGCATAACAGGAGATCGGGGACTAGAAATCTGGGGTGGGAGCAAAGCCTTTGAGTGTTATGTCCTGCCCTGGTTACTGGATGCCTGCTATTTTGAGGGGTGGTGTGGGGGGATGGTAAGATTAGCCAGCAAGTCTCTTTTCTACTTGGAATCTTAGTGTAGTTCTGGGCTGGGCATGTCTTCAGTAAAATAGCTAATGACTGCTTTTTAAAACTCCTAGCTGTCTGCCCAGTTGTTACAACACCCTCTGGCTCAGTGGGCAGCTTTTGCTTCAGACAGTCCCAGGTGCTCTGTGGGTACCTTGGTGAGTATACTTGTCCCCTTTCTTCCTACTTTGACATGGCAATACCAAGTCTTTTATGTCTGTCTCCGGTGGGGAACTGGTCAGAGGGGAGGCAGGATTTTGAAAAACAGCTTGTAGGTGAGCAGTCACATGGGTGCCTGGGATTTTCTAGTCAGTTTCATGAGTAGAGCTGATGACTAGCTTGGAAATGACACACTGCCCCATGTGCAAGAATGACTACCAGGTGCGAGCTATGTGTGCAGGGATTGCAGAGGGCTTTAAAGTATTGATCCTTTGACCCATGCAGAGGCCATTTCTGGAGGGCTCTAGGGTGTTAATGAAAGTCCCTTTTGCAGAGTTTTTTGTGTTCTGCATTCCTGTTTTTGACACACTGTAGTTGTTCAATTAATGATTCTTGTGCTGAACCAAAATAAAAGCAGATTCCCCTCCCCCTTTAAAGTGATGGAGGGAGGCTCCTGAGAGAGCCGTGTTGGTGCCGTCACCTATAACCTTTATTATTGACATGTCTGGGTTGCATGAGAAAATGGGTTGTCATAGGTTAGGCCCTCAACTAGCTGAACCTGGAGACCAAGCACAACCCCCTCAGCTCCACATATTAGAATGGGGGCCACCAACATCACAGATGTCTGCTACTTTCTGATTTGGAACATCAGCTGGTTCCATTATCATCGACTGAATGCCTACCGCTATTCTGGGGGCATGAATCCACAGAAAATAAGATTTGAACATGCCAACACTCAAGGAATTCAGTGACTGAGTTGTCTCTGAGCCAAGGACAGGAAGAAAGAAACAGACCAAGGTAGTTAGGACTCTTGAAATTGTATGTGGAGGTCCTACATAGATGGGGATGATTTTACTGCCCCGGCCAAAGCCTAATTCTTTGGATATCCTGTTTTGCAACTTGCCATGCCTGGCCTCACTTCTTAAGAGCTGTCATGACTTAGAGTGACTGAAGCTGGGCTTTTCTAGCACAAAGCAAAACAATAGCCCCAGTTCTGTTAAGAGAATATGTTTATCATTTTATTTTGGTATAGAAGGCTTCACAGTGGCTAGGCGGAACAATGGGAATAGAAACAGTAAAATATTCGATCTGTACTGGGGTAGTTCTTGTATGAAGCAGATTACATTTGGTTTCTAAGTTCTGAACTTTTAGTTTACTCCATTTTCTAAGCCAAAGAGTTAAAATGTGCTATTTCTTGCCATTCACTGACCAGTTTTTTTTTTTGGAAGGGAAAATGGAAACAAACGAGAAAAGGCAAACCTTTGTCAAATCCCCTCACATTCCTGTTAAGCCAGGTCACACTACCCATCCTCAGGACTTGGGTTAGTGATGGAAGATAATGGAAGGCCAGGAGGACAGTCTCCTTTCCCTCCCTCCCTCCCTCCCTCCCTCCCTCCCTTTCTCCCTCCCTCCCTCCCTCCCTCCCTCCCTCCCTCCCTCCCTCCCTCCCTCCCTCCCTCCCTCCCTCTCCTCTCTCTCCCTTCCTTCCTTCCTTCCTTCCTTCCTTCCTTCCTTCCTTCCTTCCTTCCTTCCTTCCTTCCTTCCTTTCTTTCTTTCTTTCTTCAGTAAATTGTGGTTTGGGAGAAGTGAGCTCCTTGTCCTTGTCCCAGAACCGTTTGATAGTGGATCTGATGCTGGAATTCAGGTGTGACCTGGCTTTGCTCCATGCTCCCCACAGGCTCCAAACTCACATTTTCCTGCTTTTCCTCTCCTTTTAGGGAAGCCAGACCCATTCATTTTGTAATACTTTTACCTATGACCTTATGAATCTCCCCCTCCCCTTCTGCCCAGAAAGCAGGCTGAGCCTTTTCCTGGAGCAGTTTTTCTCCTTAGAGTCTACTATTTTGTCAAAGTTATTTTCAGTTAGTAGTTACCTAGAGCTTTCCTCTTCCTTTAGTGAAGAAGACAAATGAAACTCCAGCACTCCTCAGGGCATGGGGCATTGTCCTCAACATCCCTGAGAGTGAAGGTGCGGATGAGGGCACAGACTTTGCTAGGTTCCTGTACAGTGTGGAGGATTTCCTACCCCATGTGGCAAGACTCCTTAACAGGGTGCCAGGAAATGGCTCCATCAGTAAAGTACTTGCCTTCTCAGGAGGACCCGAGTTCAAGTCCCAGAACCCAGGTGACAATACCAGGCACGATGGCATACATTTGTAATCCAGGGAGTTGGAGACAGGAGGATCCTAGGGCCTCTCTAGCCTGATTGGTGAGAGACCCTGTCTCAGAAGAGCTGGTCATAAGGAGCGCGCACGCGCGCGCTCACACACGCGCGCGCACACACACACACACACACACACACACAATACACACATACACACACATACATACATACACAATACACACATACATACACATACATACATACACACGCGCACACACACACATACACACGCACACACATACACATATACACACATACACACGCACACACACACACACGCACACGCACACACTTAGGAAGGCGAGGGGGCAGATTTCAGTGCAGTGGAGCTCTGTTTTTTGGGGGTTTTTTTTGGTCTTAGAAATAGTAACTGAGTAGAAACGTGAGTGAGTGTCTGCCAGGTGCAAGCATCGGGATCTGGGTGAATCTCTCCATGCCTGTGATTTGAACACACCTTTAGTGCAGTCAGTCTTCGTCTGTCACTTAGTTTGAACTACCCCTCCATTCCAAGGAGGAGATGCTGGGAACAGATAGCAGCAGCCCGTGGGGTGCCTCTTCCTCTCTTTACCAGGTCATCCTAGTGCTGGTGACATGTAGGTGTCACTGACACTGACCTGATGCGCCGTCAAGCCGTACCTGTTCTTTTCTCGAGTTAAGTCCATCATCCCAGTAACAGGAGAAGGTCAGGCGGACCTGCCTTGGTGCGAAAGCTGAACTCCCACAATCCTGTCCGTCACTCAGGCTGCACACGGCTGTGGATGCCCATAAATGCAGCGCAACACAAACTCACTTAGAACTTTATGAGGAGTTTTGTTTTGTTTTATTTTGTTGGTTTTTTTGGAATTAAAAAAATCCAGTTGTGTGTTTCCCATGTTTCCCAAGCGTGAACTTTGTAGATGACAACATCTCTTTGCAATGTCAAAAGGTTGGAAGTGCCTGATTCAAGAGGCAGCTGGCATGGAGGTTCATGTCACTAGGGAAACAGAAGCAGGAGAATCATGAGTTTGAGGCTAGCCTGGGCTAGACGCTGTGTAAAAGAAGGAGACAAGAGGAATAAAGGAAGGAAGGGAAGGAGGGAGGAAGGAAGGAAGGAAGGGAGGGAGGGAGGGAGGAAGGAAGGAAGGAAGGAAGGAAGGGAAGAAGGAAGGAAGGAAGGGAAGAAGGAAGGGAAGGAAGGGAGGAAGGAAGGAAAGAAGGGAAGGAGCAAGCCGGAATTCCAAACTTAGGTAACCACAGAGATAGCTGGTAGTCGCTCTGTGAATGCCCAGATGAACAGTCACAATGAACTCATTGAAGGATGCAGTACAAGGCTTTTCAGTGGCCCCATTAAGATTTAAAGATGAGGGCTGGAGAGATGACTAGTGCTTAAGAGTCCTTGCTCTTTCAGAGGCCCCAGCTTTGATTCCCAGCAACCAGCTAGTGGTTCACAACCATCAATAACTCCAGTTCCAGGGGATCTGATATCTCTTCTGGACTCCACGACACCGAGCACAAACATAGTGCAGAAGCATTCATGTGAGAAAAACACCCACACACATAAAACCAAATAAATAACTCTGAGAAATCTAAGATTTGAAGGTGGCATTCCAAGCATAGCCTGTGTTTGTGTACTCCAAGGCATCTTCCAAAGCAGCTTCCTTGGGCCTGTCCCAGCCCAGTGGCGTCAGTGGCACTGGGTGGGCACATCTGGGAGGTTGCACGCTCTAAATGGACTGCAGGTGCTCCTGACATCATTGAAGTTTGCAGCTGCGAGAGTCAGTGGACACTCTGTTGGTGCAGGTCTGTTTACTCACAGACACCCATGTGGAAGGCTTCAGATCCAGTGGGGCCTCTGTTTGATCAGCTGGTGCTGCAAGGGAGGTCCCCAGCACCCCCAGCACAGTCAGAGTTCTCACCGTGTGCCTACCCATTTCCAGAGTACCTGCAGACACGGAGGTAGACCTGTTACTGATAGATCATGCAAAGCCCCTGCTCCCTGTCCGCCATACGGAAGAGCCTCTGTTAAGTGTAGAGGGAAGTTAACTGGGCATCAGACAGGGGGGTAATCCCTTCATTCAGGTGCCTTCAACTAGGCAGCTGTGGTCTCTGAAGAAGATTCTTTTTTATTTTATGTGTGTGAGGCTTTTGCGTGCGTGCATGCATGTACTCTATGTGCATGCGGTGTCCAAGGAGCGCAGAAGAGGGTCTTGAATCTTGGAACTGGAGTTGCGACGGTTATGAGCTGCTATATGGCAGCGGGAGCCAAGCATGAGTCCTCTGCAAGAGCAGCAAGCACTCCTAACCACTGAGCCATCTCTTCAGCCTCCAAAGACTGTTCTGGAAGCCGATGTTTAATGTACAGGAGACAGGTTTAAGACAGAAGCTAATGTATAATTCCCTAGGATAGTATTTGATCAAAACACTGACATCCTTATTATGACTTGAATCCCATCCTGACACATTCCGTGGGGTTAGGATCTAGCCAGGAATGGAAGGTAAACTCCACTGTCTGAACCAAGCTAAGCTTCTTCCGATAACTGAGGTTTCGCTATCCAAATGATATTTTTCTTACAGCAGGTGGGACTGTGACCAAGCTCTCAGGAAGTGTAGTAATGATTGGACCTGGGCAGCACTGTGCCTCTCAAGGTGCTGATGTGGCTTTTGAACTACCTAGTGCTCCCAATCTTCTCCTCTACTGGGAAAATTTCAGTACAGTTTTTACTTCTCTTTTTTGTCATTATACTCTTTCGAGAACTGTCCAGCTCTACCCTCATTACTCACCTCACTACTGAGGTGTGAGAAGAACAGCTGAGAGGGTTAATTTTACTTCCCAACAAGGCTTTAATGGAAAGATCT